TGACCCTGTGGACGCGGCGCGCGGGCTTGCGGCCGTTGAAGCTACGCCGCCCGCCGCGACTCGGCGCGCTCGCAAGCCCCACAGAAGCGCGCGCCGCATTGTTCCACAGGCACGTCGCGTGGATCGTGATCGTCGACTGCAATCTCTTCGCCGAATGAGCTGATGGCGTCGGAATATGCGCCTGAGTCAACACCCGCTGTCGGGCATGCCACCTGCGCTGAGGGTGCCGCGCCAGGGTCGACAGCGGCCGCGGCTGCAGGCGGGCTCGGTGCCGCCCCCAAAGGCAGCGGGGCCCATGCCATCCTAGCTCGATCTGGCCGCAGCGCCATAGGCACTAACTATGACCCTGATCGTGCGCGCGCACCCGCGAGGTACGCATGGCACTGGGTCGAGTGAACGGCCGAGACGGGGTTGCCCAGCGAGCCCTCGATCATGCGCCCAATCGGTCACGCGCAGCATCTGCTGAGCGTCCGCGGAGCAGGCCGTGTCGCAGCGCTGCAGGATCATGGCAAGATATTTTCGGCGTGCCCAACACGCGCAGCAAGAGGGAACTGCGCCCCTCGTCGCCGATCATGAACAGACCAGCCTGCTGCGCCATGTCGCGTAGGATGTTGAACCAGGCGAGGAGGTTGTCGATGCGACCCCGCGGCAAACGGTTGAAGCTCCTCAAGGCCCACACCGCTCGATCGCGCTCCTCCTCGGCTAGTTGGCCCCACAGTTCGGCCAGCGCAGGCATCTGGAATGTCATGGGCGGCGCTGGGTCGCCGTGAATGTGACCTCCCTGGGTCAGGACAGCGAGCGGCCACTCGTCCGAGCACTCGCGTACCATGCCAGCGAGGCAAGACGCGACGTTGGCCGCCTGGCCGAGGTCGAGTTCGCCACTGACCAGATCATGACCTCCCACACCCAACGCAGGATAAGCACGCGAGCTTGCCGATCGGGCCCCAGGCGCGGAGGCCTCGCATGTCACCGCCACCACCGCCGCCAGCGTCCACGCAAGCGACGCAGCTGGCGGCAACGACCACGACCACTCCGACGGCCTTCCATCTTGGGCACCCGAGTTATCCGGGGTAACTCGGGTCTGGGGTAACACGGGTTCGGATCCCCGAAAAACAAACCCGAGTTAGCCCTGGCCCGAATTACCCCTGATGATCTGGGGCTCTGGACGCCCGAGTTATCCGGGGTAACTCGGGCCCGGGGTAACTCGGGTTCATAGTCCCGAAAAACAAGCCCGAGTTAGCCCTGACCCGAGTTCCCCCTGATGGTTCGGGGCTCTGACCATCCGGAGCGGAGCCCTCCCCATGCATCGAGGAGAGGCTGGAGTCCTGGCCTGGAACCCACCACCACCGGCGATGCTCAGGTAGACTGCCTCGGAGCCGCCGTGGGCATCTGCCCTGGACATGCCCTTCCTCGTCAGCGCATTGGGCATATTCTTATGTCGCACGGTTGGGGTGCGATCTGCACTCGGAGCACCCCACGACATTGTCATCCGTCGTACGTCAATTTCTCACAGCACTGGGCACCACCAACTGCACCATTGTCGAAAGAAGGCGCGCATCGGGATCAATGTCTGCCAGGAGGCAAAGAGTGCGCGAGAAATGGAATCTTGTTCCAAAGGATCAGACGGACTTTGATTCACGAGCCCCCGGAATGCTGACAACATGGTCCTCGGCCCTGGCAACATAGTCACCAATAGCCCGGGGATCCCCCTTGGTGACGGGGGTGGGGACTCAATCGGGTGCCTCCGGGCTTTTTTAGAAAGGCGGAGGAGGAGGAGGAGGAGCAGGAGAAGGAGGAGGAGGAAGAGGAATGGGAAGAGGGATGACGATGAGGTGGAGGAGGAGATACGATGATAAGAACTATTGATGATGGGGAGGAGGGGGAGGAGGAGGAGGAGGAGGAGGAGGAGGAGGAGAAGGAGGAGGAGGAGGAGGAGAAGGAGGAGGAGGAGGGCGCGGAAATGAGCAGGAGGAGAGGAGGTGAGAGCAATTGCTAGAACGAACTGTGAGAATAAAGAGGGGCGAGAGTGGAGGTGATGAGAGAGGACGGGAGAAGGGGATTGAAAGTATCAGGGAGGGAGGATGGGAAGACAGAGTACGAGGAGAAGTCGGAAGCAGTCAGCACAATACAAAATGAACTAAAGGGCATGAGGAAGAAGACGGGGGACGGACAGGCGAAGAGATGAGCTGAGATGAAACGCTGAAACCACCCAGGCCTTGATACCGTCTGGCGCCCCTCCTCCTCCTCCGTTTCATCCTCCTCCTCCTCCTCCTCCTCCTCCTCCTCCTCCTCCTCCTCATCATCATCATCATCATCATCCTCCTCCTCCTCCCTCTCCCCCTCCCCCTCCTCCTCCTACTAGTAGTAGTCCTCTGCCTCCTCGCGCTCATCGTTCTCCTGCAGGATGTAGGATGGACGATGGGGATCAATTGCGGGCTCCAGGCCCGAGAGTGGACTGACTACTAGTGGCCCCAGAGTGCTCAGCGGTCACACCCTCTCCGCGACACAATCTGAGACAAATCCCTTGGGAATAACCTGGGATGATCTCCTCGCTGCGCACAACCTGTCAATGATCCCGGCCCGTCTGCGCTGGTCTTCGTTATCGCTGACGTTTTGGCCTTCACTTTGTGGAGCTTGTTACCACCTCTGGCCTTTCCGCGCTCTTCCTCTCCTTCAGTGCAGCCTCGGCTTTCTCCGCCTTTGCCTTCTCCGACCGCTCTTTTTCCTCCGCCTGCCTCTCCAGGTAGGCCTCCACCTTGGCCATCGTGCTGTACGAAGACATATAATAGCCACAGTCTCTGGTGCTCTCAGCCCCGTAGCAGAGGGAAGCACCCTTGGGTCTCTCACCAGCATGAGCTGCATCAGCGCAACCGACCTGGCGGGTGAAGAAACGAACGAACAATCACAAAATTAACCTGTGACGTACCCAACCCATTTGTATCAATGGAAACGAGGAGTTGGCCGAACCTTGCATGGACAATCAACTTGATGTGTAAGCTACTTGGGACACGCGCTTATGGCATGATGCGCAAGATAACCATACAAGAACAAGGGGCGACAGCTACAGGCTCGAAGAGGACATGGGGAGTCGAGAACGCAGAACAGGAGAAAAACGTGCGGGAAGCCGAACCATCAGCACGGCAGCAGCAGAGGGAAGGTGACTGCAGGAGGAGAACAAGGACGAAAGCGGCGTCTAAATTGAATCCGCCGTGAGCCCCCCAGCAGGCCTCGAAACTGGCGACTGTTTCACAAATCGCAGCCCCCCAGGGATGGCGAGGTCTAATTTGAATCCGCCGTGGGTACCCACTGCGCTGGGCCCCCCAGCAGCCCTCGAAAGTGGCGACGGTTCCACAGATCGCTGCCCCCCAGGGATGGCGAGGTCTCATTTGAATCCGCCGTGGGTGCCCACTGTGCTGGGTCCCCCAGCAGGCCTCGAAAGTGGCGACAGTTTCACAGATCGCAGCCCCCCAGGGATGGCGAAGTGTAATTTGAATCCGCCGTGGGTACCCACTGTGCTGGGCCCCCCAGCAGCACTCGAAAGTGGCGACAGTTTCACAGATCGCAACCCCCCAGGGATGGCGAGGCCCCATTTGAATCCGCCGTGGGTACCCACTGTGCTGGCCCCCCCAACAGGCCTCGAAAGTGGCGACAGTTTCACAGATCGCAGCCCCCCAGGGATGGCGAGGTCCCATTTGAATCAGCCGTGGGTACCCACTGTGCTGGGCCCCCCAGCAGCCCTCGAAAATGGCGACAGTTTCACAGATCGCAGCCCCCCAGGGATGGCGAGGTCACATTTGAATCCGCCGTGGGTACCCACTGTGCTGGGCCCCCCAGCAGCCCTCGAAAATGGCGACAGCTTCACAGATCGCAGCCCCCCAGAGATGGCGAGGTCCCGTTTGAATCAGCCGTGGGTACCCACTGTGCTGGGTCCCCCAGCAGCCCTCGAAAGTGACGACAGCTTCACAAATCGCAGCCCCCCAGGGATGGCGAGGTCCAATTTGAATCCGCCGTGGGTACCCACTGTGCTGGGCCCCCCAGCAACCCTCGAAAGTGGCGACCGTTTCAAAGATCGCAGCCCCCCAGGGACGGCGAGGTCTCATTTGAATCCGCCGTGGGTACCCACTGTGCTGGGCCCCCCAGCAGCCCTCGAAAGTGGCGACAATTTCACAGGTCGCAGCACCCCAGCAGCCGTCGAAACGCAGCGACGAGCGAGGTCAAAGGCAGGGGGGAAGAGAGGGACGGGGGGGGGAGGTTCGCGCGAGCAGTGCTCTATTCAAAACGAGAACCCAACGCAGGAGGGTTGGGAATAAAACTCCCACGTGTCCGCCTGACTATGCGTGGACTCTGCTCTAGTGGGAAAAACAAAGACCACCCAATTAGCCTGACGAAGGACCCAACCATATGCAGTTGTGAATACCGCAATTGTGAATACCAACTTCGCCCGCGCTCCCTATGGGGCCACGAAACGTGTGAGGGGTATGCCACAATGGGGCGCGTACCGCATGCGGGCTGCGCCACTGGGACCATAGGTGGAGCTCCCTATGGGGCGACGAAACGTGCGAGGGGTGTGCCAAAATTGGGCGCGTACCGCATGCGGGCTGCGCCACTGGGGCCTAAGGTGGAGCTCCCTATGGGGCCACGAAACGTGTAAGGGGTGTGCCAAAATTGGGCGCGTACCGCATGCGGGCTGGGCCACTGGGACCTTGGGTGGAGCTCCCTATGGGGCCACGAAACGTGTGAGGGGTGTGCCAAAATTAAGCGCGTACCGCATGCGGGTTGCGCCACTGGAGCCTACGCTGGAGCTCCCTATGGGGCCACGAAACGTGTGAGGGGTGTGCCAAAATTGGGCGCGTACCGCATGCGGGCTGCGCCACTGGGACCATAGGTGGAGCTCCCTATGGGGCCACGAAACGTTTGAGGGGTGTGCCAAAATTGAACGCGTACCGCATGCGGGCTGCGCCACTGGGACCATAGATGGAGCTCCCTATGGGGCCACGAAACGTGTGAGGGGTGTGCCAAAATTGGACGCGTACCGCATGCGGGCTGCGCCACTGGGACCTTGGGTGGAGCTCCGTATGGGGCCACGAAACGTGTGAGAGGTGTGCCAAAATTTGGCGCGTACCGCATGCGGGCTGCGCCACTGGGACCATAGGTGGAGCTCCCTATGGGGCCACGAAACGTGTGAGGGGTGTGCCAACATGGTGCGCGTACCGCATGCGGGCTGCGCCACTGGGACCATAGGTGGAGCTCCCTACGGGGCCACGAAACGTGTGAGGGGTGTGCCAAAATTGGGCGCGTACCGCATGCGGGCTGCGCCACTGGGACCTTGGGTGGAGCGCCGTATGGGGCCACGAAACGTGTGAGAGGTGAAGATGATGGTGGGAGGAAGGAGGAGGGGAGAGAGGAGGAGGAAGGAGAGGAGAGGAGAGGAGGAGGAACGCGGGGCGCCGTTTCTTCAAAACGAGGACCCAACACCACAGGATGGTTGGGAAAAAAACAGACAAACCCCGAGCCAAGCCCTCGGAGGGCCCAAAAGCGAAATGATTTCTCTCCAAAGAATGCGCTAATCGAGCGCCCCGGCCATCGCTGCTTTGGTCGATTGCATCCAGGGCTGTCCCAAGGGTGCACTGGAGATCCCCAAAAAAGCCCGAACATGCTTCTAAGAGGATCCAGGGGACCCCAAGTAGGCAATGTTTGAGCGCTGCTTGGGCTGACCCTTCTTTTAGTTTGACTGCTGCCCCGCCCCTGCTCGTTCCACTGATGCTCTGTCAATCCTCTTCTCGCGACAGCTCACCTGGGCATCGTTCAGGACGGGCTGGCGGGCATACGTACTTTTTGGCACGCGGGCGCGCGAAGCGAGTCGAACGCCGAGCAAGCAGGGGTAGGCCGTGCCACAAGCTAGGAGAAAAACAAAGAGGCGAGCAACGGCAAGCACAGAGCGGGACGGAGCTCAGCGCAGCCAAAGTGGCGCGTACGGCAGCACAAAGCGGCACCGGGAGGCGGGCATACGTATTTTGTTTTGATTCGCGGCCCGCAAGGAAAAGTCCAGAGGGCGGTAAGAACGAGGCTGGGACACAGCGCACGGGAAGGCAGATGCGGGCATACGTACACGAAGCGTCAAGAATCACTACTATATGTCATAGACAGAACTTATCATCGAACAAATCGATGTGTGGCATCCTCGCCTAGATTATTCCCGCGACTTCCATGCGACTGGTGACCTATCGGCAGCCTGCCTCGGCTTCGCTCTACTCACCCACGCCGCCGCCTTCTTTTTACCGCTCCGAGTGAGGTCCTCCAGGTTCTCTTCGGGTTCAGGGAGCAATGGATGCGATCGCCTTCTCCAGCCCCGCTCCGCTTCCGGGCTGGGGCCCCTGACGTACTCGTATCCGCAGCTGCGAACCTCCCGGTGATATTATCATTACTGCATCGTGGATTCCCCTCCTTTGTACATTTCTTTTGCGCCTGCCTCATCCTCCTCGTTATCCCCTGTTATTCCTTTGACATCCTTTTACTCGTCTTCTTCCCCAGCGGTCTAAATCCCACAAGCCCTGTGGACGTAGTTGGTTTAACGAACTTTGTGTTCTCCCTGCCAAAACCCTTCCTTCCCCTGCTCGAAGAAAGGCTTATCCCTCCCTCTGCCCCCTCCCCTGGGTCTGGACGGGGCCCCCCGCGAGGGGTTAGAGCGCCCAAGATCGCCCAAGATGGCTCCAAGAGGGCCTCAGAGAACGCAAGATGGCCTCCAAGATGGCTCAAGATACCTCAAGATGGCTCAACATAGCATCCGACAAACATCCAAGAGGCCTCAAGACGGCCCCAAGACGGTTTCGAGTGCCCTCCGAGCCCTCCAAGGACCCCCCTCAAGAGGCCAAAATGGCTCCGAAACCGTGGGAAATTCAATGTTTCTGGCCTTCTCGCCTTTTCGCTTCCAGTAGGCTCTTGAGGCCTTACGATGGCCCCCAGAGGCCCAAGAGAGCCCAGAGAGGGCCACGAGGGCCCCAAGAGGGCCCCAGGAGCGCCCAAGAGCGCCCCAGGAGCGGCCCAGGAGGGCCTCAAGACGTCATGCTCGAACCTCCCAGGGGGGATCTGAATTTCCCCCCGCTTCTTTTTGACTCACGGGGTCCAAGTTGGCCCCAAAAGGCCTCCCATACCCTTCCAAGGAGCCCCAAGAGGGCCCCAAGAGGGGCCCCAAGAGTGCCCCACAAGGCCCCACGGGAGCCTAAGAGAGCCCCATACGATGGAATTCGTCGTCCTTCGGAAAGCTCTCACGGCAACATTCCTCCAAAGCCCGATTTCTCATCATGATTTCCATCGTCCGTTCCTTCCGTCCTTTCCTGCCTCCTCCCCCATCATCCTCCTTCTCCTCCTCCTCATCATCATCATCCTCATCAACAACATCATCATCATCGTCATCGCCAGCTTCATCATCATCAGCAGCAGCATCATCTTCATCATCAGCATCAGCATCGTCATCAACATCGTCGTCGTAAACATCAACATTATCAGCATTAGCATCAGCAGCATATTCATCATCATCACCATCAAGATCATCCGCGTCAGCAACCGCATGATCAGAATCGTCATCATTATCACCATCACCATCAACATCTTAGTCGCCATCAGCATCCGCATCAGCTCTATCAGCATCACCATCATCACCATCATTACCAGCAGCCGCACCATTTTCGAGCAGCATTATTCCTCCTCCTCCTCTTCCCCCTCCTCCACCTTCTCTCGCTTCATTCCTGCTATTCCTCCTCATGTCCTCATCATACCCCCAAGATGGCCCTCGGAGATCAAGCATGGCTTACGAAAGCCAGCGACAGACCTTCACGAGGCCTGAAGAAAAAACACGAAACGGTCCAAGACAGCTGAGCATGGCTCATGATAGTTTCCGACAGCCTTTAGCCGAACATGGCTCACGACAGCCTCCAAGAGGCCTCAAAACGCTCCGATCCTTTCTGGATGGGCTGGTGGGGATACATTTTTCCGTCGCAGCCACAAGCGAAGGCGCCCGCAGCGGGTCGAAATCGGCTCGGGCTACGAGCGAACCTAATTACCGGCGCGCGCGCAGAAGAAAGCAAGACCTACCGCTGGGGGAAGCAACTGCGGCGGGGCTGTGCTGCAACCGCCGAAGCTGAGAACCAGCGCCGAGGGCGGGGACTGCAAGCTGCTGGGGCTGCTAGGAGGCTGCAAATGTGCGGGTACCATGGGAGCTGGATCACCAGGTACGTCAAGTGGACCTTCTCGGCACGGGGCGCCAGAGGTCGGCGCGCCACAGACGCGGCGAAGCGCGGGCCCAGCGAGTGACAGCGGACCGACGGGGGACGCGCAAGTTCGTTCAAGAAAGCTGAACCACTCCTGAGTGCACCGGCGGCCTTAAACCCAGAGAGCCAGCAGCACTGACAGACACGGCCAGCTGTGGCAATGACTGAGGACCAGATGCCAAGGAAGCGCAGACGCTCACGCTGAACTGGACAGGACGCATGTCCCCAGAGCGCCAGGGGGCCGCAGCCGACTCCACGGAACCGAGTGGGGGCCAAGCGCGAGGGACAGAGCGGGGCCGCGAACACAGAGGGCGACGGCAACCAGAGCCCAGGCGTTCGAGACAAGAAGCGCGAGCCGAATACGTCACGCAGGGGGGCCAGTGCCAGGGGGGCCGAGCCAGGCCAGGTCCAGGCAAAAGCCAAGGTAAACACTGGGCCGCAAGCACCCAGGGCGGCGGCAACCGGAGCCCAGGCGCTCCAAACAAGAGGCGAGAGCCGAAGACGACACGCAGAGGGGCCAGCGCCAGGGAAACCGAGACAAGCCGTGGCCAGGCCCGGGCAATGGCCAGGGCGCAAACAACTACAGCGAACGGCCAGGGCCGCGAGGCACGTTGCACCCGCCCCAGCGAGGGCCTGCGCACCCGGCATTGACGGCGCTGGGGGGCCCGGCCCCCAAGTGGGAGGCCGAGCCAGGTGCCGCGCCGGGGCCGTCACTGGACGACACTGGACCAGCAGCGGCGGGGCTGCAACTCGCCGCGGCCAGGCGCGGCGAAGGCCAGGGCGAGCGCTGCTACAACGAACGGGCAGGCCGCGCATCGGCACTTTGCGCCTCGCCCCAGCCAGGGCATCGCGCCAAGTATTGACAGCGCCAGGGGCCCGGCCCACAAGGGCGGGGGGCTGGCCGAGCGCCGCGCGGCGACCAGACCCGGTCGCGAGGGGCTGGAGGGATAGGGGCAAGCATGGGCGACTGCGGCAAGCGGCTGCACGACCCCAACACGAGAACCTTACTCTTCCAGAAAATGAAAGAAACTTACAGCCGCGGGCGCGCACGCTGGAAACCCTGCCAGGGAAGCGACTAACGGTCACACTGTCTGCGAAAAATGAAGCAGGGGACAGAAGGGCAGGGGAAAAGCAGAACGCGGAGCCAGGGACAGAACGGAACTGAAGCGACTAACGGTCACACTCACTGGAACATCGGCTTGAGGCGCACGGCCCCAGAGTAGGGGGACCACGCCCGCCTGGATCTCTCCTGAGGGGCCAGCGCGAGGAGTGGCAGCCAGGCGGGCGCGGCGGCGTGCGGTTGCCTGTTCCCGCGCAGGCAACTCCTGTTCATCGGGCTCTTCCGGCGCATGCTCCGCATGCTGCTCTGGTTCTCTACTCGGTCGCGCTTGCCCCTGGCCCCCGCCCGCTGGTCCTCAGGAGGGGGTGGGGCCGACGCGCCGTGGCTGACCGAAGCCCCGTCGATCTCCCCCTTCCACCCTTCCCACTTGAGGCCTGCCAGGCTTGCCAGGGTTGCGACTGACGGTCGCCCTTCCAGAGTATATCGGGCGATCGATCGAGGCCCCATCCGCGCGGGCGTCCGCCTGCCGGCCTCCAGGAAAAGGAGGGGGCGACGAGCTGCGGCAGACGACCACGCGGTCACTCTCGAGCACTCCCAGAAGGCCGTTGCAGCAAACGGCCGCACTTTCCGATACACACTCTAATATGCGAGGACAGTCTCCGAACGCGGGCGCGCCCACTGCGGCGCACCCACCTGTCACCAGGGCACTGCCTCCCGGAGGGGGCGAGCTGTCGAGCGCCTTCCTGGCCTCCACCGCACTACTGCCCCAGGGACGCCGATAGGAATGAGGAGCCGCACGGGCGCCCGCCCGCCAGCCTCCAGGAGGGAGAGGGGGCGACAAGCTGAGGCACACGACCGCGCGTTCACTCTCGGGTTCTCCCTGAAGACTGTTGCGGCAATCGGCCGCACTTCCCAGCACGCACTCCTGAGTCTCTGTTCTGTGAGGAAAGACTCCGAGCGCGGGCGCGCCCTCAGCAGCGCTCCTAACTGTCGCCAGGGCACTGTCTCCAGGAAGGGGCGCGGCGCGCTGCCGAGCGCCTCTCCGGCCCACACCGCACTGCTGCCCCGGGGGCGCTGATTGGAGCGAGGAGCCGCATCGGCGCCCGCCTGCCGCTCCAGAAGGGGGAGGGGGCGACAGGCCGCGGCAGACGACCACGCGCACACTCTCGAGCTCTCCCTGGAGACTGCTGCAGCTGACAGCCGCACTTTCCGAAACACGCTCCTGAGGCTCAATTTTGTGAGGAACGTCTCCAGGCGCGGGCGCGCCCTCTGCAGCGCTCCCAACTGCCGCCAAGGTACTGTTTCCACGAGGGGCGCGCAGTCGACTGCCTTTCCGGCCTCGACTGCACTGCTGGCTGCCCCAGGGACGCTGATAGGAGCGAGGGGCCGAATGGGTGTCCACCTGCCAGCCTGCGGGAGGGGGGGGAACGACAAGCTGCGGCAGACGAACACGCGTTCACTCCCGAGCTCTCCCTGAAGACTGTCGCAGCTAACGGCCGCACGGCAGACGACCACATATACACTCTCAAGCTCTCCCTAAAGGCTATTACAACTAACGGCCGCACTTTCCGGACCACACCCCTGAGTCTGTATTTGGTGAGGGGCGTCTCCGAACGCGGGCGCGCCCTCTGCTGCGCTCCAAATTGTCGCCACGGTACTGTCTCCAGGAGGGGGCGCGCTGTCGAGTGCCTCTCCGGCCTCCACCGCACTGCTGCCCCAGGGACGCCGATAGGAGTGAGGGGCCATATCGGTGTCCGCCTGTTCCGTCGCACTGCCAGTTTTGTCCGCTGAAAGGAGGGGGGAGCCGGGCCGGCAACCCCAGTTGCCGACACTGCCGTCCGGTCCGCCACTGCCACTGGGGGAGGGGGGGCCGCTGGGCAATCGGGCGGCTGTACAGCAGCCGGGGCCAGCCCAGGGAAGCCGACACTGCCGTCCCGTCCGCCACTGCCGCCGGGGGGGGCCGCTGGGCAGCCAGGCGGCTGGACAGCAGCCGGGGCCAGCCCGGGGAAGCCGACGCTGCCGTCCCGTCCGCCACTGCCGCCGGGGGGGGCCGCTGGGCAGTCAGTCGGGCGGCTGGACAGCGGCCGGGGACAGCCCGGGAGGCCCATCTATCGCCGGCGGAGCGCGCGAACCTGAATAGGGGCGTGCTCGAGCCGAGACGGCTGGAGCCAAAGGGGCTACGGAGGCTGGTGGGGATACTTCTTTGTCAGCAGCCGCGAGCGAAAGCGCACACGGCGAGTCGAACTGGTGGGGATATATTTTTTCCTCGCGGGCGCAAGCGGACGCGCAGGCGCCGAGTCGAAAGGTCCGGGCCACGGGCCGATCTAATTGGCAACGCGCGAGCCGAGAAGCACACTGGTGGGGATACGCGGCGAAGCGTCAGGAATTTGAGCACCCAACTCTTTTCGGTTGCCTAGTCTCACTCCTCCCGGGATCGCCCTCGTGAACTACCGAGTGTGCCTGGAGGCTCCTGGGCTAAACGGCGGGCCGTGTCCCATGTAGTGGGTGCGCAACTTGGTTAACGGCGACTCCCTGCAAGGTTAAACGATCTGGAATCGCGGGACCAAGGATGGCCAATGGAGCCCGCCGCCCGCCGCGCCCTGGCATCATCCCTGACGAATCCCGCGGGAGCCACTGAAGGCTCCCTCGAAGGCCCTTGGGCCAGTGGGGCCCGCCAATCGCCGCGCTCCGACATGACCCGCTGGCGAATCCCACCGAAGCCACCGAAGGCCACGCTCGGAGGCCCCATCGGAGGATGCTCCTCTTGGAGGCCTCACGGAGGCCCACGAAAGGCTCCCGGCGGCGGCCTGTGCCACCCGCGCGAAGGCGGATGCAGCGTCACGTCACAGGGCGTCACAGATCTAGAAGCGAACCCATCGGTCGGAAGAAGAGGGTAGACATTTTGGGTAGAAAGACGTCGAAAGTAGATTGGGTTGGGTTTCCGCCCGCCCCCCGAAGAGAAGGGCAGAGAGGAGACCGCTCGACTCCTGAAGCAGAACTGCGCCTGACATGGACTGGGGTCTGGGCATTCCCAAAAAGCTTGAACGACCGGCGAGAAATCTAAAAAGCAGCGGCGCGGGCCGATGACTTCCAATCCCGCCAGGAGGGACCACGGCGGGGATGGCCAGCAGCGCCGCGCCGCGCCGAGACCGCGGCTGGTCCGCCAGGGCCTCCTGCGGGGCCAGGAACCCTCGCACACGCCTGCCCCGTTCGCTCCCCGCCGCCACTCCCCTCCACGGGAGGGAGAGAGGGGGGGAAGGGAGAAGGGGGGCAAAGAGGCAAAGAGAAAAGGTGAGGATGGCGCACGGGACGGCCAGGATCCCGAGGAGGGCCGGGAGGAGGAGGAGGAGCGCGACCAGGGGAGGGAGGGGGAGAAGATGGGAGAAGCGAGGAGCCCGCGGAAGGCCATGACTTCGGGAGGGAGGGCGCTGGAGAAGAGGAAGGGGGGGAGCAAAAGCCACGTCGGCACCGAAACCCACATCCTGGAAGACCTCGCAGTCCAGGGAACGACAAGCTGCCGATGCCGCGGCTCCCCCGGCCCCTCTGCGCGGGCACGCTGCACAGGACTCCGAAGAGAATCCGCGCGGCGACGAGCACTCTCCGGGACGAGCCGCGGCATCGGTGCTCTGCTCGAGCGGGACGGGGGGGAATCGCAAAACAGGGCTAAGATCGGGATAAATCGCTCCAGAGCGTTCCGGAGCGCTCTCAGAGCGTTCCAGGAAGCTCTGGAGCGGCCGCGGCGCCCAATACAGCCTCCAAACCCGCCGATTCTCAGAGATCTCGAGTGATCCCGATCCGATTTTGTCCCGATCTTCGCGTCGTCTTAAAGCGGGGAGGAGAGCCGGGGCACCAGAGCGCAGACCCGCACGCCTGTCGTGCAGGGAGCGCGGGCCCAGGCCGACCTCCCGCTGTGTGGCGTCCGCCGTGCGCGTAGGATTGCGACGTGGCCGCCCGCCCCGCTCTCCGGGTCCCTCCCAGGGCTCCGACGATCCGGGTCTCATGAGTCGTCTCTTCGCTTTCCGTCTTCGTTTTAAATCGGCTGCACGTAAGAGTGACCCTGGGCAAGAGTGACCTTTGGCGCGCGGTTTTTTGGGGGCCGCGGGGGGACCAAACCTGGGCGCGCAAGCCGCTGCTCCTGCTTCGTTTTCAGCCATCTGGGGACCCATCTGTGCCCGCACCAAAGGTCACTCCGGCGAAAGGTCACTCTTACGTGTAGTCGATGAGAGCGGGGAGCGCGCACGCACACGGGGGGCGCATCCTGATACCAGTCGGGGCTCTTGTGTCAGAAATAGCTGAACACATCGAGTACTCCAGCACACAGGAGGACTTAGGGAACTCATCGCTGCAACTAGTTGTGGAAAAAGTTCCCAATTAGTTATCTTTTCTGAAAAATAAATCTCAAATAAGTCCCGTAAGTTCCCGAGCCCCCCTACCCGCCGCGGCCCCTCGGGCTCGTCCTTGAATGGGTTGCGCAATGGAGGAGGGAGGCGGAATAGGAGGCGGAGTGGGAGGATCAAGAGTGAGAGTGATGATGATGCTGATGATGATGATGATGTTGATCTTGATGAGACGGATGAGGACGATCATGATCCTGATGATGATGATGCTGATGATGATAATGATGGTGATGATGATGATGACGGTGATGATGACGGTGATGGTGATGGTGATGTTGATGATTGACGATACTGTTTCCCGCCCTCAATTAGACTCCGAGCGTGGGTCGACCCACTCGGCGGTGACCTCGAGGGACACCTTGAAACTGGCCCTCTTTGGGTGCCTGTAGTCGTACTGGTCGACGTCGGGACTTGGTGGTCCTCCTGAACCATACATCGTCAGGAAGGCCTTCTTCAACCATGGGTTGGTCACGTCCTCGATGCACTTCCACTCCTGCTCGACCTTCTTGACCCGCTTCTTGGGCGGCTGGAAAATCTGGATCAGGTAGTCGCCGCCGCGCCCGGGCTTCTTGTCGGGTTCGGCGCGCGCGGCCTCTCTCGGCGGGCTCGGAGGCGGCCCCTCGGGAGTCCACGGGGCGGGCGTCTCGGCCTCGGCCTCTGCCATGGCGCGAAGGGCCTCGGCCTCTTGCATGGCTCTCGTCGGCGGGGGAGTGCGCGGGGCGCTGGATGACATGGCGGGCGGGGGAGTGCGCGGGGCTTGGGATGATATCAGACCGCAGCTTTGGGCCACTGGCAAAGGTATGCACACATATATGGGGCCAGCACCGTTTCAGCGGGTGAGCCGCTGTGGCGAAACCAGAATGACGATTCCAAACAGGCGGATGTCTGTGATTGTGATGATGTCGATGCGGGTGTAGGAAGGAGGAATGACATTTTTTGCCCAACCATCCTGTGGTGTTGGGCCCTCGTCGTCGTCGTCCTCCTTGGCCCCTCGGGCTCGTCCTTGAATGGGTTGTGCAATGGAGGAGGGAGGAGGAATAGGAGGCGGAGTGGGAGGATCAAGAGAGTGAGAGTGATGATGATGCTGATGATGATGACTGAGAGTGATGTTGATGATGATGAGACGGATGAGGATGATCATGCTGATGATGATGATGATGATTAATATTACGATGATGATGATGACGGTGATGATGACGGTGATGGTGATGGTGACGGTGATGTTGATGATTGACGATGCTTTTTCCCGCCCTCAATTAGACTCCGAGCGTGGGTCGACCCACTCAGTCTCTACTTCGAGGGTCACCTTGAACGTGGCCCTAGATGGGGGCCCTCCTGAACCATACATGTTCAGGAAGGCGGCCTTCAACCATGGGTTTCTTCGATGCACTACCACGTCTGCTCGACCTCCTTGACCCGCTGGAAGATCTCGATCAGGTAGTCGCCGCCGCGCTCGGGCTTCGTCTCGGGTTCGGCGCGCGCGGCCTCTGCCATGGCTCTCGGCGGGCTCGGAGGCGGCGGGCTCGGGGGAGTCCACGGGGCGCGACTCGTCTCGGCTTCGGCGCGCACGGCCTCGGCCTCTGCCATGGCTCTCGTCGGCAGGAGCGGGGGAGCGCGCGGGGCGCGACTCGTCTCGGCTGCGGCGCGCGCGGCCTCGGCCTCTGACATGGCTCTCGAGAGCGGGGGAGTGCGCGGGGCGCGGGAACGCGGGCTTGACATCAGACCGCAGCTTCGGGCCACTGGCAAAGGTACGCACACATATCACTCATGCGGGGCCCGAGCGGATACGCGCACCGCTTCAGCGGGTGAGCCGCTGTGGCGAAACCAAAATGACGATGCCAAAAAGGCGGATGTCTGTGATTGTGATGATGTCGATGCGGGTGTAGGAAGGAGGAAGGACATGTTTTGCCCAACCATCCTGTGCTGTTGGGCCCTCGTCGTCGTCGTCCTCCTCCTCCTCCTTATCCTCCCCCTCCTTCTCCTCCTCCCCACCTTCTAATTCTAATGCAGAAGTCCCTGAGTCCCCTCGAGGCCCCTGATCCCCGACCACGCCCCAGGGAGCAAGGCCGCCCCGCGAGGGCGGGGAGGGCCGCGCCCTATTCATGTTTCACCGTGGTCGGAGACAGGGCCCCACCCCCATGTTTCACCTATTCATGTTTCCCATGTTTCACCCCCACCCCTGTGCCCCCGCCTTTCAAGGGGGAAGCCTTCGTTCTCGAGGACGAGGACATGGCAACGGTGCGTAAGAGAGCGCGGCCGTTTCGGACATGTTTCCTTACTTATGCGCGCTTAAAAGGAGGGGGGTGGGGGGCCGATGGGACGACGACGACGACGACGACGACGACGACGACGATGACGACGACGACGACGACGACGACGACGACGACGACGACGACGACGACGACGGCGAAAGGCCCCAGTGGCAGGGCTCGCTCGGGCCATTTCGGCACACCCCGCACGAGGATCGTGGCCCCATAGGGAGCTCCACCGAAGGCCCCAGTGGCAAGGTTCGCATGGCGGCCCCGTGCCATTTCGGCACACCCCCCTCACGAGGGTCGTGGCCACATAGGGAGCTCCACCGAAGGCCCCAGTGGCAGGGTTCGCATGGCGGCCTCGGGCAATGTCGGCACACCCGCCACGAGGATCGAGGCCCCATAGGGAGCTCCACCGAAGGCCTCCGTGGCAGGGTTCGCATGGCGGCCTCGGCCATTTCGGCGCACCCCTCACGAGGACCGTGGCCCCATAGGGAGCTCCACCGAAGTCCCCAGTGGCAGGGTTCGCATGGCGGCCTCGGGCCATTTCGGCACACCCCATCACGCGGATCGTGGCCCTGTGGGGAGCTCCACCGAAGGCCCCAGTGGCAGGGTTAGCATGGCGGCCCCGGACCATTTCGGAGCAGCCCTCACGAGGACCGTGGCCCCATAGGGGGCTCCACCGAAGGCCCCAGTGGCAGGGTTCGCATGGCGGCCTCGGGCCATTTCGGCACACCCCTCACGAGGATCGTGGCCCTGTGGGGAGCTCCACCGAAGGCCTCAGTGGCAGGGTTCGCATGGCGGCCTCGGGAAATTTCGGCACACCCTTCACGAGGGTCGTGGCCCCATAGGGAGCTCCACCGAAGGCCCCAGTGGCAGGGTTCGCATGGCGGCCTCGGGCCATTTCGGCACACCCGCCACGAGGATCGTGGCCCTGTGGGGAGCTCCACCGAAGGCCCATTGGCAGGGTTCGCATGGCGGCCTCGGGCCATTTCGGCACACCCCTCACGCGGATCGTGGCCCTGTGGGGAGCTCCACCGAAGGCCCCAGTGGCAGGGTTCGCATGGCGGCCTCGGGCCATTTCGGCACACCACTCATTAGGATCGTGGCCCCATAGAGGGCTCCACCGAATGCCCCAGCGGCAGGGTTAGCATGGCGGCCTCGGGCCATTTCGGCACACCCCTCACGCGGATCGTGGCCCTGCGGGGGGCTCCACCGAAGGCCCCAGTGGCAGGGTTCGCATGGCGGCCTCGGGCCATTTCGGCACACCACTCACGAGGATCGTGGCCCTGTGGGGAGCTCCACCGAAGGCCCCAGTGGCAGGGTTAGCATGGCGGCCTCGGGCCATTTCGGAGCACCCCTCACGAGGACCGTGGCCCCATAGGGAGCTCCACCGAAGGCCCCAGTGGCAGGGTTGGCATGGCGGCCTCGGGCCATTTCGGCACACCCCTCACGAGGATCGTGGCCCCATAGGTAGCTCCACCGAAGGCCCCAGTGGCAGGGTTAGCATGGCGGCCTCGGGCC